TCCTTAAGGCCACCCAATCCCAGGCTGTGACTGGTGCTGGCCATGGCCTGTTAGGGACCACAAAGCAAAAATTGTCTTCCATGAAACTTAGGAAAAGGTGGGTGGGGGTGAGGGAGGAAAGTCACAGCTGGAGGTGAGTTGTGGGTGAGCTCGGGAAGCTTCATCTGTATTTACAGCCACTCCCCAACAATGGCATCACTGCCTGAGCTCCACTTCCCACCACCACCACCACCCCCAGAAAAATTGTCTTCCATGAAACCAGTCTCTGGTGTCAAAAAGTTTGGGGACCACTGCCTTAAGGGACTAGACCATATCTTATGCTTTCTTGTGGCTATGCGTGCCTCAAGCACCACCTGCAACAGTAGGCTTTCAGTAAATACATGCTTATTGAATAACTGAATGAATACCTGCCACTAGAAGTTGTTATACTTCCAGAAATTGTGTTCTAATCCTCTTTCTATCCAATAAAATCAACAAGAGGGAACACATAGCTCTCTGTTTTTCTTTATTCTGATCTGTTTAGGTCAGATGAATTATCTACTTCTTTCTCCTTTACTTACCCAAACATTTTCAGAAACTTTTCATCAGAAAGCATTTTTGTATAAGTCTTTCTTCTCTAAATTACTATATCTGACTCAGTTGGTATTTAAATCCCTTCTAACCAAATGATATTGATAAAAATTTGCTGGTTTTGAGAATCTAGGTGCATTTCTCTCATTTTACTGAAGGAAATAGAGAAGTGGGAAGAATCTGGATGTCAGCTGCAGCACATCCTTGATCCAAAACCTACAGGCAGAGATGTGAATGGCCAGCAGTGCTAATAAGTTTCTGTAGGCTTCAGAACCAGGAGCCAAGAGAGGGCCTTACAGATGTTGCAGGAAACCAAGTGCCCAGAGGCGTGTTCTGTAGGGCTCACCAGGTGCTTCCTGCCCAGGCACTGCCAGGCCCAGGCAGACAGCGCTGGCTCTCCATGAGCCCCTCCACCTCTTCCATTCGTCCTGCTCCTTCACCTCCAGCAGCAGGTGGGAGCCAGTGGTTTGTGCTTACAGAAAGAGTCAAACCAAGGAGATAGCCCAAGAAGAAGGATCCAGAACTTTCCCCCAGGCCAGCAACCTTTGTTTTCAGAAACAGCAGAAGCAGAAGCTGGAAGTCATGAAATTTGGGAAAAAGAAACTAAAGAGGCAATGTCTTTGTCACAACAGTTTCATCCAAGTCCTGGGTTTTTCTTCTGCTCATGTTCCTTTCTAGACAGAACCACAGAAGTTCTCTTAGGCTAACACTACAGAAAAATAATCATCAATTTTTATTTTTTTACAAAAAAAACTTTTTCTGTTATTTAAAAATATTCTTGCTGTTTCCCAACCACTGGAGGAAAAAAAGGGTGACTATTTCATTGCTGTTTAACGAATTTTTAAAAATTGAAAAAAATACAATTCTAATAACTTCCATATGCTATTTTATTTAATGTCACTTAATTCTATCAATACCATTGTGAAATAGGTATGTTCTGCAGATGAGATACTGAAGCTCAGAGTGTTTAAGTAACTTGCTGAAAATCACACAGCAAGAAACAAAACTATTAACCATATCAACCATATCATATCACCTCAATCATACTTTTACTTTATAAAACTCACTCTCCTTTGAAAAGCCCTTCCAGTCCCTGCCTGAACAAAAGTGCCTAGTTGACTCCCTTACTATAGTGAGCTCTGAATAAGTAGCCTTTGATTAATTCTATAGGTGGTATTTATTCTTTTGATAATACAATCTCAAAAGAAGAAAAACTGATAATTTAGCAATTGTTGCCTGAATAAATTAAACTATATTTTATTTAGCATTCTTACAGTATTAAAAGGGAAATATGTAATTAATATATAAATAAAACAAAATTACTTTAGACATTAAAAAAAAAAACAGCATGACATATGTTTCAATTTCCCCAAATGTGTTTTCCCCTCCACTGTTCTTCTACTGTTGTCTCTTAGGGCTTCAGCATTTGACTTATGTGACCTCTCTGGTCCCACAAGTCTATCCACAGTCCTCAGCTTTCAACCTGAGTTCCTTCAGCTTCACCTGCTAGGGGCCGGAGGGGCCTGGGAAGGGCAGGGAAGGGCACCTGGAGGCTGACTCTGCATAGCATGTGCCCAATCTCAATGGGACATTGGTAGTTAGCAGGGGTAATAGTGAATATCAGCTACGACTTACAGAGTTCCCCTCCCTGTCAGGCATATGACAAGGTCTTCTATATGTGGTCTCCTTAGCTCACAGATAATCCCATGAAGAAGCTTATATTATTACCATCAATTTACGAATGAGGAAACTGAGGTATAGGGAGATTAGGGACCCCAGTCAAGATCACAGACCCAAACTATCTGGGTCTGCGCTGCTGTCTCAGTTGGTTATGCCTTGATGACGGTGTTTGAGTCCACTCCTTGGGAGCAAGGCCATGCTTATGGAGACAGGCTGAGGCTCAGGTGCCTCCCATCCAAGCACTGCAAGTGTCTCCCGCTGCTTTGCTGCGTGGCTGGCCTCCCTGAGGCCATGCACCTCATGTTTATAGCCTCATTTGATCCTGTCAGGACTCTTTAAGGTTATTTATTCCTTTCGCAGATAAGGAAGATGAAGCCCGGGAGTTTCCATAACTTGCCCAATCTCACAGAGTGGAAGGGAGGACTAGGAATTAAACCAATGGATCTTCTACTAGTCTCCCCTCCTCTGGGCTTTAGGAGCGAGTTAACTGGCTCAGGCTGGGCACAGTGGAATGTCCTTCAGGACAAATTGAGCACTCCATAAATGGCCCAGGGAGAATCTGGCCAGATGCCACTTATGGTTCATGGTGGGGAGAAGGAACTGTGAGGACAACAGAGGCAGAGCCACCACTGGGACGCACAGGCCCTGAAGGGCAGCCCCTCAGCGAGGCCACGGCCTTTCTAGGCAGCTACCGACCCCAGCCTCGATCAGCTGCCCTGAAGGGACAGTTCCTGCTTATTCCCATTGCCCCACTGTTCTCTCCACCCGGAAGGCCTTTGCCTTCATATGTGCCTGCAAATCCTACCTTTTGGAAGCCCAGGGGGCCTTTCCTTGCTCTCCCCACGGGAAGTCGTTATGCCTTCCCCCAGCTACCATGCCTAAGCACCCTGTCTATCCTCCTCACGGGGTGCGCCCCACGCAGGGGTGCTCCGGCTTATTCTGTGCCTTTCTGCCGACTCCTACCAGTCTAGAAGGGCAGGGGCCCTGTTTCACTAGTATTGGTCCCCTCCCCTAGCGCCTGGCAAGGACCCAGGATACATTTGTCGAATTTATGATTCTTCCTCTCCTGATCAAGCTGAACACACTTGCCTGACTCCCGCTCGGGTGGAGCCCGGCTAATCAGAACGAGGGGCTCCTGGCAGAGTGCGAAGGGGTGCGCTGTCAGAGGTGGCTTTCTCGTTTACCAGCCAGGGAGAGTTCTGAGGTGCAAGAAGCCATCCAGCCGGGCTGCAGGATTGCCTTCGCTGTCACCTCGCCCGCAGCCACGCACTTGAGTGTGCACGCAGGCCAAGATGGAAGGCGCCATCCTAACTTCTGCCGTGAGCAGGTGGGAGGGAAGAGAGACGAGAGGTATTCCATTGGTTGTCTGGGAAAATGAATTGCACCTTCCCCTCCCTTGCAGAGGATCAACTTTTCCCACCCCCTAGGGTGGGCACTCATATCGGGCCAAAGCCCGAACCTGGGAGCCTGAGGGCCCCCGTTCCAGGGACTCAAAGCTGCACGTGCAGCGGACGCTCCCAGATATTAGGAAAAGTACATTAAGGTGTCCTGAGTCCATCGAGTTCCGCCAGCTGGGCGAGCCAGCGGTTGCCCAGACCGACCAGGGGCTCCGGGCGCAGAGTGGCGGGCCCGGCAGCGCGCGTCCCCCTCCCCCTCCCGGCGGGCCCGCACGTGCAGCCCGCGCCGCGCCCCCACGGGTTACGCGCGGGTCCCGCCGCGCCGCTGCCGAGCTGGGCTGCCAGGCCCGCGGGCAGAGCGCTGGCCGCCAAGTCCCGCGCGGGGCCGGGTCGCGATGCTGCGCTGGAACCAGGAAGCGCCGCGGCGAAGGGAGGGCCCGGGCGCGCTGCGCGCGGGGGTGGCGGTGGCGCGCGGAGCGGGCCCCGCGCGGGCGAGCTGGCTGCAGCCGGCGGCAGCGCCAGCAGGTACGGCCCGCGCCCGCCGCCGCCCCGGCGACCCTTGGGGGCTTGGCCTGAGCCCGGCGTGGCCGCAAAGTTTGTGCGCGCGGCCCGGCTGGCCCGGAGTTGCGGTCGGGACGGGCGCCGCGCGAGTTGGGGACCCGGCGGCGGGGGTGGGGACGGGACGGCACGCCCCTCTCAGCATTCCGCTCTTCGCCCCTCTCCGCGCCCGGCTCCGTGTCCGCGAGCAGCGAGCCCGGCGGCGGGGACGTGCGTGCGGAGCCGGGCGGGCTGTAGGGCAAGTCGAGCGGGGAGCAGGCAGCGTGTGTCACCCCAAAGTTTACGGAGTGCGGGGCGCGCGCTCGGGCCAGCCGCCGCTCAGGGCAGCCGCAGGTGGCGACGCACTGGCGTGGCGGGGGCGGCCGGCGCGGAGGGGCCAGGTGCGCGGCCCGCGGGCGGCGCTGTGCGCTGGGGCAGCGGGTCTGCCCGGAGAGCGAAAGCCCGGTCGGAGCCGGCGGGGGCGGGGATGTGGCGGAGAAATGGGGAACAATGCGAGTGAGCAACTTCAGGAAGTCATTGTGAAAGAAAGCTGGGAAGAGCTCGGCGGCCAAGTTAGCAGAGCACTCTAACAAGTGCCTGTGCGGCCCGCGCCCCGGGCGGCGACTGCAGCGACAGCCCCTGGGTCCCCGCGGAGCCCAGCCAAGCCCGGCGGGACGCGGCGAGGCGGGCGACCCGGGCGAGCCCGGCAGGGCGGAAGGAGCCCCGGCTCCGAGGTTGCTCTTCGCGCCCGAGGATCAGTCTTGGCCCCCAAAGCGCGACGCACAAATCCACGTGAGTGTTTTCAAATTGAATTTCAATAGAAAAACTTGGGGGTAACTGGTGGATTAAAACAAAAGAAGAAGAACAGGAAAAAAGAAAAGACAAGGCGGTGAGATTCGTAATCCCTGGTGTCGCTCAGGTCCTCCTTTCTTTCTGAGAACTGAGAGCGTTGACTTTTTCAAAGCCTCTGCCACTTTGGACTGTACCCGCAGGTGCAGGACCAGGCTGGCACGGGACACTCTGAGCAGCCCCGCTGTCACCAGGAGGGATGTTCTAGCTCCCAGCTTATTGACGTGTGTCTGTACTTACATAGCAAGATCACAGTAGTCAGCCTGTACAAAGTTATTTGAAAAGAGCTTTCCTTAATTTTGAGGTGAGAGCTTTCTGCTTATACTATAAAATGATTACATTGAGTCTGAACTTGATATCTGCAAAATAGAAATTATCCTGGTTTTGAAAAGTTAGTCCTTTTGCTGCCTGCAGGCTTGGCTCTCAGGGCGCGCAGGAAACCTCAGGAAAACCCTCAGTCACTTTAAGGCTACTTTAGGTTATGTTTGAAATGTATTTTTAAAATTTGTCAAACATCGCTGGTGATTCCTAAGGACCCTTAGGAGGGTGTGATTGTTTTTCCTTGTAGTTGCAGGCAGAGTATATGGCATCTAGTGAGTGAAAACGCGGTGATTCCTTAGGGTCTCACAGTTCACAGCATTCAAATGCGGTTTTCATTCTCTCCTGGGGCTGGAGCCCACCCAGAGTGCATTTCAATGCCCCGCACTTTGCTTAGGTTACCCACTCATAATCCCCCACCTTGCTACAGACAGCATATTTCAGCTCTGAGGTTCCTTGTTTTAAACTTCCAGAGACAAAATGGTATTGAAGAAATACCTCCTTCCTGGTCAAATCAACTATTGTTAAGAGAGGAAAATTTATGGAAGTTGAAAATACTATGTATGCTATTTAAGCCTTCATAAAAATTCAAATGCTTTTAAGAATTGGTTTACCTGGTTATGAGTTGGGGAGGGGAGAGAAACCTGCAGGAAAATGTCTCCAGCCGTCTTGAATTTATTTCTTTGTTTGAAGATATTTGTTGGGTGAGGTTCTTTGGACTCTTCTTTTACATGGGATTTTTAAGAGTAACAATTGCAGTATTATTTATGTTAGAATGTGTCAGAATTGTTTCAGCAACGAATCTTATTATTTGGTCTGTGGCTTAAAATTTAAACAGGGACAAATATTCGTGACAGGGAGATTCACCTCCTTACGTTGGCATCTTATAATATGCAGAACATGTTAAAGAAATGACTTGTAATCAGACATAAAAATAGTAATGTTGCATTTTTAAAAACTACACCATTCTGGTTTGATAGAACGTGTCTGATTTCAAGTTCTCCCAAGAACGACATGTGTGTCCATACCTTTTTATATGGAAAAAAATGCTCTTCCCAGTGTTGCGTTTCACCAGAACTGGTGACCAAAACATTTTATTGAGTTAAATGGTCAGGTTTTCTTCCTCTTTTGCTTCATGGTGAGAGTCCAAGGAAGGAATTTAGAGACTCTACAGTGTTTGTTTCATTCATCAGTGTTCTAACTAGAATGTTACATCTTGGAAAACTACACATCCCTCAAAATTCTGGAACACTGCAGCAATAATAGCCACCATTACAGTCTCACGGGAGACCTCAAGGGCTGCAAACTCAGTGTGGATGGGTTAGGTCTGCCTCTTGAAGAGTTTGTGCATAGTGATCAGCTGTGGCTGTGTTTGCAGTCTTTCCCCTTACTGAAAAATTAAGGTCATAGTGAATTTATTGGCCAAGAGGCATAAAGAAAGCCCAACCGAGCTGCAGGCACTGTGTCTTCCTTGCTTGGCTAGAGAATTCTAGTTTGGGAATGGTGGTTCTTTGGTTTGGAGAATTCTTTTTTTCTTGATTTGGATTTGTGTTTTTCACATTTGGTTAATACAGTAGCATGTTGTCAATATGAACGTGAAAACTTTTGAAATTTGAAAGAATACTCTCTCTCACACACACACATGTATTTCAAGATTATGAGTTAGTAATAGATAAAGGAAATAAAGAAATCCCATGCATATGTGCACACAGGACAGAGAGAGGGGCATGGGGACAGTGTGGAACAGAGTTTTAACATCAAAAAGACTTGACCTAAGTAATAAAGGTCCCTCCTTTTTTATAACCTTTTGCTAAAACAAAATGGGTTTTCCTATTTGTAATGGTGAGTTTAAGCATTGATGTTAGCATTTGGGATGTTTCGTAATTTTTTGTATTCATGTAATATAACTGCAGTTAATAAAGAACTCATTAAGGATGGAATCGTTTTGTGGCATTTTTCCCTCCTCTAATCTTTGGAATTATGAAATAATTTCATTATGAAATAAGTATTGCTTCTAGTTATGATATTCTAAGGGAGATTTGTGTAAGCGAATCCACCTCACAGAAGGTAAACTAGGACCCCTTTCGGGTTTGCTGGAAACCCTTGCCTTCTGACTCCTCTGTTTGTAAGACTGACAAGCATTTGGGGCTTCATGACTCCTCCTTTTAGTGACAAGGGTTGCTGCAGCTCCTGAATGGACTGCGAATCTTGCTCTCTCATATTAATGGAGACTTCGGGGTACTTTATTTGATATGTGTGTCATATAATCATTCCATTTTATGGGAGAAAACACGAGATGTGAAAGCAGCAAGCGACCCATCCTTTTGAGGCTTACACAAGGAGAAACATGAATTCATTTCACATCTTGAAACACATTGTTTTATTTTGCTCCAAAAAGGCACATACACATTTTTAAAATAGGCTTTAGAAAGGCTGAGTTTCAGCAAATCAGTGTCTCTGTCTCACACACACACACACTTAAAATTCAGATGAGGAATGGGGTAGGAATGGGGTTTTGTCTGGGGCATAGGGCAGCCAAAACCAAACTGTAGCAGCAATAAAACTGCTTTTATCATGGTGCTGACTAAACGCTCACACTGGTTTCTTCATATAGACCATGGCTTCACTGTATTTCTTTGCAGTTTCATAAATGACTTCGTACCTCAGGTTACCTTTTTATATCTCCTGGAATATGTACTTAAATCCTTAGATTTTCATTGCCATTGCTTTAATAGCTTTTGCTTGATATAGTTTTTAAATGTTTGATGATATTGTAACAAATAGTTTTGAGACATTCTGAAACACTAAGGGTGAAGTGCTTCATATTACAAGTAGAGTACAGCAGCAAACAAAAGAAGGTTTGTGAAAGTTCTTAAGGGAGATGCGAGTGCCTGCTGCTGCTTTGGTGTGTCCCTGGCAGTTGCCCCTGAGGAGACCCAAAGGGAGAGCAACTGAGGCCTAATCCACATGCAACTGCCACACTGTTTCAGTTGATGTTTCTCCTTCTCATGTTTGACTGTGATAAATAGGTAGATAGACGCCAGAGGTGTCTTCAACCAACCACCTGGTGAGGAACTGTTAAAAATGGTGAAAACCCAGGTCGCAGGTGCAGCGGCCATTTCTTGCCCCGGTTACAGGCTGGCCCTATTTCTTTTCCACCATGGCCATTTCTGCCTTTGGGGAACTCACAATTCCTGTTGACTAAAAGAGCACCCTTTCCACCACAAGCCTGACAAATCAGACGTCCACATAATTTCTGAACTCATTTTGGTTAGGACAGGAAGCACAGGCTCCTTTCCTGTCTGTGTTTTCCTGAGAGAAAACCATCTTCCCTCCTTTTTTGCATATTTGGCAAGTGGTTCCACCTTCCTCTGAGCCGCAGAGGAGTGTGAAGGCAGCGGTGGAAGCGTTCAGGAGGAGGAGGAGAAGGACACGGAGGCCCTGGGTCCTCCCAGTCTGGATTTGTGTGGGACAGGCAGCTCCTGCTTGGCCTCGGCGAGCCAGAGCTGGTTGGTGAGTGCCACACGGTTTCTTTGCTGTGCTTGCAGGGATTGGAGCAGCCAGTGTGTCCTTCCCTCTTCCCTGCTGGTGTTTCTCAGTGGGCAGCCTGCGTCCAGAGTGCCCTGCACCCCTGCATGGCGACTGTCTCAGGTGATGGAGAGCATCATTATGCTCCCTCTGCACGCTCTGCTTTCGGGCTGGCCCCATGCTCCACCTCCTGATAGCTCGTGGCGCGGGCCACGGCTTAACGAATGGCTGAAAATGGGCCCTAATTAGTGGAAAAGTGCTTTCTTCATATTTTCTCACTCAGGTGTGAATGATTCATTTTTCTTTAGCAATCAGCTTGCTGCTAAAGGAAATCTGACTCTCTTCCCGCCATTTTATACCAAAAGTGAAGTACGCTGGGGAGAGGGTTAGGTGTGAGGAGAGAGCGGTGCGGTAGGAGGAAGGCGCCCTGTGTGGGCTTGTCTATCTCGTCTTCCTTTCTTCCCTTCCTTTCTCTTTCTCTCCTTCCCTCTATCATTTGTGGGGTTTTGCACAGGTTATTGAAACAACTAAAGTGTTTTTGAATGGCCTTATGCATATTGAAGTAAATTTTTATGCTCTATTTTTTAGATCATACTCTAAAATCTACACTTAAAAGCATTTTCTGTTAGTTTAAAACTATTTGAAAATGAACAATATGGTTTGGATTAGAGTCCTTTTCTAAAGCTAGGAGTTCCACTATGAATGTTGATTTATCAATTTTTGATACATTTTTGTTGTTATATCAGATTTTTGCTGGTAAACTTAGAGCAAATAAAATTCCACATCAAATACCTCCCTAGACCTAGTGGGGAAAATGTTTTATTTAGAATCTTCAACAGAAATGAAAATGAGGAATTGACCTTTTGTAAGCTTACTTGCGAGGCACTCTGACTCGTGCTCCAGTGCTTTTAATGGAAAGTAGAGAGAGTCAGTGACGCCCTAGTGTGAGCCCCACTTCAAACCTGAAAAAATGACCTTTTCCTCTTTCTTTGTGCTAAGTTTTGTGTAGGGCAGGGCAGAAAATTCAAGTTACAGGGATGTTCAAAATGATTCATTGTAAAAACATATTGATAAATTGTGTATTCCATTTCTTTTAATTAAACTCATACTGCCAGTTATCTTAGGTTGTTAAAGATAAGGCAATTAATTATCACTTAGAAAAATGGTTTGGAAATTCCTAAAACTTTTCCAGTATGAGTGTTTTCCCGCTTTACTACGAGGTTGTATGTATTTGCTTGAATTTAGAGAATTTTCACTTTAATTAAGAGCAGACAATACTTTTGTAAAAGAAATGAAATTTGCTAAAAAAGAGCACATACAGTAAAACATTGAGAATAAATAAGTTCAACTTATTTAAGGGCTGCAGAACAATCTGAAGATAGTATTTAAATGAGTTTTCCTGTATTTTACTCTCTGATGGACATTAGCGTTTTCTGGCAGATTATAAAGGCATGCCGATTTCTGTAGCCCTACAAATGAGGACGTTGTAAGGCTCTGGCGGTTTCACTGCCCCACTCCCGGGTTTGCATGATATTGGAGGCTGCAGGTTAAGGATCACAGAACCGGGTCCCAATCGTCCTGGTTGGGCCTGATACCCATGTTTGCCATGGCCCTTGTGTGACCCATGATGTTGGCATGATCATCGTAAGGATGCTGCCAGGTTTGGGTGAGGGAATAGCTCGTGCTGAGCTCTCTATCACAGAATGCAATAGAAATCTCGAGCTTTCTTCCTAACATGACCCAACTTTCAAACAGTTTACATTACCAAGTGATGTTCTTTTCTGTCATTGATTTCTTGCCCATAGCAGCCGTTGTTACCAAATAATAAACCCATTTATTCTGCCCTTTACCCTTCTGAGGCACAGCTTATTTTGACTTCAACTGAACCCCCAGAGGGTGGGGCGATCACAGTGAATTTCCAGAGCACTAAAGCTATTAAAAGACCAAGCTGTGAAAAAAATCTATAAACCTTTTTATGAACCCACATTCTATATACTGTGACCATAATTGAAAAATGTGAAATAATTGAAAAATGTTAACGTGGTTTAATTTTTTATAGTTTTTATGAAAAAAAAATCTCATTGTTATTGATAGTTGATAATTTTTCGAGTGTTATGAACACAAGTAAGCTCAGAATTACAGTCTTCTAGGGAAAATTTCCAATAAGTCTGGAAACCATGTGGCCTGCCCTCGCTTAGAGATGGCAATCAGGATGTCTGTGTCTCTTCCTCCTCTCTGGAGCAAAGACTGATTACCCCTCATTACATATAGGTTGGGCCAAAGTGGCCTTTTATAGTTCAAGGAGTAAGAGATAGATGGATATGTGTGTAACAATGAATCCCATGATGTGTTTGATCTGGAACACATTTTTCTCTGTGTTTATATCTAGATTTATAGATCTTGTCTTACCACCATCTATATGGTAGAGACAATATCAAAATAAAAAGGAAAAAAATTACAAGTACCTAGGAAAATGTCCTCAGTGGCAAATCAATCAATAATGACATTTTAGTTATTTTAAATAAATATACATGTATGGGTTTATAAACAATAAGATGTTCCAGTGAAGATCTACAAAATTTTAATTCTTTGTGTCTAATTAAAAGACAAATCTTGCCAAATAAACTTACACAAACACTTGTTTTAATAGAATCTAGACACTTCAGTGTTATAGGTGCATTTTTTGAAATGTTATGGATATGAAAGTGGGTTTTTCTGCCATGTGCAATTTAAATTCTTAGTTTTAAAATGTCCTCATGAAATTGTACTACTTGTGAGTTAAGAAAGCATCACTGCTAAGAAGGCAAGCTATTGTATTCTTTTTGACACCATATTGCCTTGCCGAGTAACAAAACTTAGCATTGTAACTATATTTATCTCTTTTTTAAAAATGGGGAAAATCTTTGAAAATAGTAGGAACACAAGAACTGTTTCGGGGCCCCTCTGTCTCTTTGCTTTATTATAACAAATCAGAAAACATCAGTACTTGGGAAATATCTACGTAAATCCTTATTTTGGAGGCAGTTTCTATTGTTTTGTAAAGGTGTAGGTCTCATTTTTGTTGTATTTCATTTTGTTGCACAGTTCCTAGCCATGCATGACAGTCTTCCAAAATCAGTAAGAAAGAAGAAGAAAATGATTCTAAATTTAGATTTTTTTTTTTTACTTAAGTGATGAAATGTAAATAGCCATTTATATTTGAGGAAGCTGCTTAGGAAGTGGCCTATGTTGGTGGCCAAAATTAAGAGAGGTCCTGTAAAAGCATCTGTCAATTTTGGCTATGTATGCCTCTCCCATGGTTGCTCAATAAATAATAGTTACTGTGAGTAGTTTGAGAGCCAGTGGTGCAGTGGTGTAGACAGGAAGCCTGTCTTCTCCATGTGCACATCCTATGCCCATGAGGGAGTACAGACAACATGCTATGCTGTGATGTCAGGACATTTATGGGCTGCTTGAAACCCAGCTCTGGCCTATTACAATAACAAATATGTAAGCACAGAGAACTGTCTCCAACTCCAACTTTCTCTATTTTTAAAACAAGTTTTCTAACATATTTTCTTATACCTCACTTTGAGACAGGTGACTGCATTGTGGCATTTTAAAATCTCCCCGTGGTTCTTCTCCCTCTGTATTAAATACCTCCGTACTGAGAAAGTTTTCAAGCAGCATGATTTTGAGTTGTAATTTAAAGGGTTTCCTCAGTTCCCTTTGACCCTTCCTCTTTTGCATATCAGTTCCTGCCCATAGGGAAAAATAATATGAGGGCAGAATCACACCTCTGAGCTGATTTGCCCTCTGAACAAACCACTGGAGGAGTTTTCTATGGCTTAGTTAAGTGTGGGGGAGGGACAGTGAGAAAGCCAAATTGGATTCCTGCTTCCCTGTTGAAATCTTGTTTTTCATTGTTATTTGCACCAGCAATACTCTGTGGAATAATCATGAAAACGTGTAGATTGGCAGCTAATTTTTGAAAAATGAAAAGAATCAGAAATGAAATAAGAGTGCTCAGAAGTTTTTATGTTCTCCCAACCTGTTTTGTCAAATTGTTACGAAAACCTTTAAGGTCTCTTTAACTGGATACAAAGACTTTGCATATTGCCTTAGCTTTCTCTTGGAACGTTTCCTTTTTTAAGATACAGTGTAATTCACAGTGATATGATAGATTTGCAAAAGTAAAATCTACCATTATGAACGTGAAAGGACTTGCCTCTCAGCAGGAATAATGGGTTTTATTAAAGAGGTCTGTGACCTAAGGCATTTTAAATAGATTACAGGCTTGGCCCATGTTGCCTCCCACCCCTTATTTTAAGCATCATAGAGTATTTAAGGAAGTAACCCCAAATGTTACTCTAGTGCAGCTTCACCTGTTAGGGGAGGAAAAAATCAATAGCATACATTTGACCAAATAACCCAAACTTTACTGTAGAAGTTTTGTGATGAGCTTTGTCTTAGTTGCAGAATATTACAAAGAACATGCTTAGTTTGTTGTAAAATATAAGTAGCATCCTCCCTTGTCTATCATCCATTTGGAATCTGTGAGCACTGCCCTGGGCTGTGAATTCCGACAGATGGAGAAAAAATTCGCCATCAGAAGGCCATGGTGTTGTCTCAGCACTGTGGTCAACAGGCTGTTTCTCTCTGAGACTCGATTTTCTCATCTGTTAAAAGGAAATAATATAGATGCCTCAGGCCTAATTGTGAGGGTTAAAACAAGTATATTTGTCAAATATATATTTGTGCAAATATTTAGCAAATAGATATTGAATGCTAGCTTCACAATGGACTCTGTGAGGGGCGCTCAGACAAACCGGTGGACAAGGCAGAGGATGTCCGTAGTCTCGTGAGGCTTAACTGTTTGCCTCTTAAGTGCCAGACACTTGGTAGGTTGCTTAATACAGCTAGCTGGTACCAGCGTCCTGTTCTTTACCGCTTCTCTGGAATGCACAAGGTACTCGTGAAATATTACAAAATACCAGTGGGCAAAGAATTACCGATACAGTACCAGGGGAAGGAAAGGAGTTTGCTTAAAAAACAAACAATAAAAAAAGATAGTGTAAGGCAGTTGTTTAAATCTCAGAGAACTAACTTTAAAAAAAAACAAACTTGTTAAGTACTATGTGCTGTCACCGAACAGGCTAATTTCGAGTGTCCCTTAGTAGTTCCTGCAGCCAGTCTGGTGTGCTACATACTTAGCAGTTCTTTAGTAGCCATAAATTTGGCTTGAAAAGTAGTAAAGTTGGCATCTGACTTTCCATTTTACGTCATAAATCCAAGACACTGTGAGGAGGAGTCTTCACTGTCAGAAAGCAAAAGGCGCCGGCCTGAGACCCTCCGCCACAGGGTGACCCGCAAGCCCCGTGGGGCTCTGGCGGACCCTGCTCTGGGGTGCTGTGGTTGGAAACGAGGGTGCTCTAGAGCAAGGCTTGCCAGGCTCCTCATCTGGAAGTAGCAGCTGCCCAGGGCTGCTGGATGTTTCTCCCCAGCAGACAGCCAGGTCCCAGTCCCGCCACCTCCTGTGGAAGGAGGAAAAGCAGGTCCATGAGGCTCTTCCCAGACAGGCCCTCAGTCCCCAGGGAAGCTGCGTGGGGCAGTGAGTGAGCCTTTCCTCCCTGGCAGCCTGAGAGATGGCCAGGCTGTGCTGCCCCCTGCTCTCCCTTCTTGTGCTCTTCTCTGAAGGTATTGATATGCTGACTCTTTCGAACTGGAACTGGGAAAGCAAGTCCTGTTTGACACTGTTTGATCAGAAGGAGGGAGAAAGAGAGAGACAGAGACAGAGATGTGGCAGAGAGGAGAGAGGGAAAAGAGAGGAGAAAGGGTAGGGAGAGCGAGGGGCAGAGACAGAGAAAGGAAAGATGGAGAAAGAGGAGAGCAAGACATGGGAGGTGGAGGTGGAAGGAGGGAGAGATGGAGGAGACCCTGGCAAATAGAGCTTTTAGACCTTCCAAGTCCATGATCAGGCCAGAAGAGGAGCAGGGTGCCTGGTGGATTATGGCAGGCACTCCACTCCCCCGCTCTCCTAGAGGGACAGCCATGGACAGCTTCTGTCACGTTGGCCCCACACTTATCTCTGCATCTATTTCCCCTTGTGCAAGATTCAGAACTGCTTGCTCCAAAGAAACAATGAAAGCATTCATGTTTATAAGAATTGCTCAGGTGAAAGTTAGTTTACTGATATTGTTGTATTTTCTACTATCGATTCATTTGGCTCCTATTGAAATTGTTTGGGTTTCTCAGGCAAAATAGAAAATTGCAGAACGTTTCTGGAAATAATTATTTCTTCTGGCATCCCCCTTTACAGACCTACTGATCTTGGTTTTCATTTAGGTGAAAGTTTGTTAAAACACGTCATTAGTTTGCTTTTGTGATTAACTCCTTTTACTGAATGTAAGCTCCTTTTCAGCTGAGACCATATCAGGCTTAAATTCCATTTTCCACTTGACACTCTGCATTGCTTCCATGTGGCAGAAGAGGGTCTCAGTAAGTGCTTTATAAAATAAAGAGCCAAGGTGGCACACGTGTTGATGAAGGGGTGGGATGGGATTCAAGTGCCTCTTCTAGACACTCCAGGCTGCCCTTTGTAAGCTGTGTCTCAGAAGAGGGCTAATTTCCTTTCCCTCAAACATTTTCCCATTGTTTGAATATTCCTGTAGACTTTCCCTAAAAGCAAGGTCACTTTTATGAAAAAGTCACTGCTTGTTCATTCCAAAAGATGCAAATTTGGAGTTTGGGGAAGTTTTCTTGGCAAGACACCCCTTATGATGTCAGGTAAGGTGCTCAGGAAGGTGCTCTCGGGGTAGAGTTTGCTGCGCTCCCCCAGTCCCCCCAAGAGACACGTGCTTGTACCATTTGCAAGGTGACTGTCTGGAGTAAAGGGTTCCTGCAGAGCAGAGCCCGACCCAGGGACCAGCCTCAGGGCAGTTGGTCGGGATTCTGATGTGTAACAGATTCTCGGGGCTGACCCGCTGGAAAGACTGGCCTGTCCAGCAGGACTCTGCGTCGCTCACTTCTGCCCCTGTGCAGCAAACCCAGAGGGTCAGCCAGTGCTCCATCGCAGAAGTGTTTTTCCCAGTGGCGCTTAGGTGTGAGAACCATTGCTGGGCCGTAGTAAACATTGGTTTTTCTTTCAATTGGAAATAAGTTGAGTATGTAACTGCAGGGTATTGGTTAAACAAACCAGTTGGGTAGTGTGCAGCCATTAAAATGATGATGATGTTGTACATTTGTTAAATAAAAATATCAGTATAGTATTAAATCAAGAATATTTTCAAACAGTTCCAAATATGGAATATGTTTAATGGTCGATTCTTGTGAAAAGCACAGAAACGTACACACACACACACGCACACAAAATTTAGTGGTTCTAAGTGGTGAAAATTATGGGCAATTTTTGCCCTTTTTTTAAAAAAGGTCCTAAAAATTATCATTTATGTAGCAAAAAGTTTAAAGTCACCACTCTAAAAGATCTATGTTAGAGTAATTGCTGTGACAAGATTTGACTTCTGTACACTTCACCAATCAATGCAGACACTTACGAACTGGTTCATGATAGACCATAGTAAAATACTGTAAGTTCTCATAATAGCATTGCACCGGGATTACAGAGACTTTTCTCATTTGAATCTATCTTCATTCTTTATTATTGTTTTGACAGTTTCAGAATAATTATGGCTTTCTGCCTGTTTTACAGTAAAAGTGTCTGAGACCCTGGACACATTGCACTTGGTGACACCTGTGCTATTCTCGTACTTGCTTCCAGCGCTGGTTTGTCTGGCTTCAGTGTGCTGGTGGACACTCCGGTTTCGGAAACACTTTTTCTCTACTGTGGCCACTGGCTGTACTCTGAAGCCACATACCAGCCTTGAAAATTCATGTCACAACTCAGACTAGTTACATGCTTTTGAGAAATTGAGGAAAACCCCTCCTCATCCAGAAAAAGTGACTGTCATTTATGTTCTCATCATGACTAATATTGAAAATTTGAAATTGAAAATTTGTATTCCATATGCACCATAAAAGATATTAAAGATACATAAAGTTATATATATATATGTATAGCACCTCTGCCTGCACAGAGTTTTCAGCCTGATTGGAGAGGGTAAGGTCTCTCACCTTCCATCAGTTTTCAGGTGGTTGCTGAAAACAGGCCTTAGCTCAGACTCACACATACGAACCAAAGAGGCAGAGGTGGCCAAGAACGAAAGAGCGGGGTGGGGAGAGCCCGGTTTAGACTCAACAAATAGACTCGGTTTGCTGGTCAGTAAAGGATCTCTTCTGAAGGGTGTTTAGCGGGCCATAAATAAGCAGATTTCCTTGAGGTCACCTTCTGCTGGCCACGGCTTTCTTATCCACGGAGCCACCAGCTGTCACCTGCTGTGGGCACCTGAGCCCACCGAGTCGCAGGCAGGACCCCAAGTGCAGAACACCACACGCTCTTTGTTTGTTTCTACGCCTCGGAGGCTGGGGCTTCTCCCGTGTGTTTGTGGGGCTTGCAGTGCCGTCTGGGGACCTTCACTGTGGCCCCCGAAGAGCAGCATCTTCCCAGTTGCTTTTCTTAAATTCAAACCAGTCTGAGGAGCAGCCATCTGTCAGCAAAACAGGAAGGCCTGGGCCTCTCCTGGGCT